GTCCGGGTCCTGGAGCTGCCGGTCCTGCAGGGGCGGCATGAGCATCGGCGTCGATGACCACGGGTCCTGAGCAGGTTTTAAGGGTTTAGGCTTAGGGTTTAGGGCTTAAGGGTTGTTTAGGGTTGAGGGTTTAGGCTTCAAAAAAAATCAATTCTTTTCGGTGTGTTCTGGTCCTGGTCCTCCTGAGGCGGCCCCTGCTCCTGGAGCTGCCACTGTCACTGCTCCTGGTGGACCTCCCCAACTGCGGATCGCATTCACATCCGCCATGGACAGCTGGACTCGGCAGACCGGGCATCGAGTGTCCCTTCCCACACATCGTTGCAAGCAAAGCCTGTGGAACGGGCCGTGTGCACACGGCAAATACACTCCCTGCCGCATTGGCTCCATGCAGATGATGCAGGTAGGCGTCGAGTGCTCCACTTCCAAGAGCCTTGCGGCGGCTGGTGGCACAGCCGCAGCCACCGGTGTGGCCGCCTCCACTGCTGCAGCTGCTGGCACCGGGGCCTCCACTGCTTCTGGCGCGGGTCCTGGTGCTGCCTCTTCTTGCTGACGACGGCGTCGCGAGGGGCGAGGTTGCCAATCCGACCATCTGTTCTGCCGGGACGAGTCCTGCCAGGCCCTAAAGCCCTAAACCCCTAAACCCCTAAAGCCCTAAACCCTAAAGCCCTGGAGCCCTCAACCCCTGCCTAAACCCTATAAACCCTAAACCCCTAAACCCTAAAGCCCTAGAGCCCCAAAGCCCTTGTTGTCCTGCCAGGCGGACCTCCACGTGTTCGTGCCTCTGTTCTCCCAGTGCCCGGCTCGGGTACCCGACTCCCAGGTGTTCGTGGTCCGGTTTTCCCAACTCGAAGTAGCTGGCTGCTGCCACGAGGTATTCCCCCACGAGGAAGCAGGCCTCGTCCATGCTGCCCTGTTCTCCCAGGGGGAGGCAGACGGCCTTTCCCAGGACGATGTTGGCCTTTCGGAGGTAGACGGCCTCTCCCAGGACGATGCTGCATGCGAGGAGGTAGAGGGCCTGTCGTGGGACCTGGCGGGCAGGGCCTCCCACTGGCCCTGGTGGGCTTGGCTTTCCCACTCCCGCTCTTCCTGGTAGGGGCGGCCCACTGACTTTCGGAGCATTTTGACAACCAGGTCAGCGACTTGTTCCGGCGAGGTGTTTGCTCGCCTCCGCCTGCGGCGCCGGGCGGAGCTGGAGGAGGAGCTCGACCCGCCATCCTCTGCCAAAATGGCATCTCGCAACCTTCGCCATTTCCGCTTTTGGTTTCCCGGCCTTTTGTCCCTCCCGGCCATGGCTTCAGCTGGGGGCCTGGGCTTGGGCAGCAAAATGTTCTGAGCATGAAGCACAGATTCAGTCGTCAGGCTCGCAAGTTCAAGGCAAAGGACTAGCACTGGATGCCCTCATGTCTTGACTGCCACAGTCATGGCACACAAAAAGGGACTCGCAGATTGATTCACTCATTCAGTCCTAAGCCTCGAATGTTCCGGTCTAGGACCAAGCTAGGCCACAGTGGTTGCTGCTGTAGCCTAGCAAGGTCCTAGACCAGACCTACTCGAAATTTAAGCCTAACAACAGCAGCAACAGCGAGAGCACACAGTAAGCGGTCACTGTCACACAGCTGCAAAGGTTTAGACATTTTGTCCCAGGCAACTGAGTGCTGCAGCGGGAGGCGAGGGCAGTAAACACTTCAAGCGAATAAGATCTGCCTCGCTCAGGACACACGATGATAGGCTCGGATTGGGTGATGCAGAGACCGCCCCGGCCAGTGCATTTTGCACTGAGCTCTGTCTTTCAGCATCACAAAAACCCCGAGTAGCTGCTGAAGGATCAATCAGACATAGACTACATTCGACACAGTAAGTTTTAAGCTCAGCCTTAGGCAGCAACTAGCTTCTCGTGGCACTTCAAGGCTTGGCCAGGCTTCAGAACCAGACCGCCCCTCAGGTGGACGGCAGGTTTTACAGGACTCAGCCCCTTGGCAGTCCAGCGGCAGTGCCACAAAACACAGAGAGCTTTGCTCTCCGACCAGAGCGAGTCCTTCTCCTTGAGGGCCAAGTTGCCAAAGGAAGCCTCTGCGCTCAACTCCTCAGTCTTGGACATGAAGGCCACACGATGAGTCATCTTCAGGGAAAACTCGTGGAGGGTTTTCTCTGGGTCCTGCTGGATCTCATGGTAGGTGACCTTGCAGTCCGGCTTGGTGACACGTTGCTGCTGCACAGCCTGGCCAACAGTGACACACTGATTGTTCAAGTAAATCAGGTCCTTGTAGCTTGACAGCTTGAACTCCACAAGCCGTGCCCCCTGGGCAGGCTCCTCGTCTTGCTTCAGAAGTTTGAAGCTGCCTCGGCCAAATCCGGCGACCTGGTGGAAATCACCCATGAAGTCCTTGGGCCCTTTGTTGATGAGCCAGATTTCGGACCCAGCACGGACCTGGAGCAAGGCCACATTGTCCTTACTCAGCGTCACTTTGCATTCGTGCAGCAGGGGCTGTGAGATGGTCTCGGCCTCACAGAGCAAGGCATCCTCGATCTTCACATTCCCCTTGAGCTTCTTGGCAGGGGGCTCGGAGTCAGGCTTCTCCGAAGCTTTCCGCTTCTCGTCGGCTTCTTTGGCGGCCTCGGCAGGATCGACGATCACACCGCCCTGCTGCTGGAAAGTTGCAAGCCAAGTCTGGAAGTCCTTGGCCAAGGGGTGATTGCCCCACTCCTTGACAATCTCCACCGGCATCCCCAGCTTGCCATCACGGATGACCTGAGCGACTCGAGAACATGACACCCATTTATGAGTTATTCGGGGTTTAAGGGTTTAGGGTTTAGGTTTTAGCCAAAACAAAATCTCCGAAAGATCCCGGTGGCCAGCAAGTTCAGTCGTGGTTGAGCTGGCATCGGGTCAGCGAGGTCTTCCGGCATCTGCGTGGGGATCTTCTCGCCCCCAGGCATGACGGCACCGGACAGGTAGGAGTCCGCCAAGCTGGACTTCAGCACCGTCTCGACCCAGGTAACCTCCGTTTGATTCTCGCAGAAGCCAATGAAGAAGGTTTTGGGGCGATTGGGCCTCTGCTTCAAGAAGGCCTCTGCAAACTCGCCCGTCCGAACAAAGAGGTCGATAATCATGGTTCCCGCAGGCTCGGGACTCAGGCCGCTCAAGG